TCCCTTGATCTGCTGGTCACGTTTTGGGTCACTGCTATCAATGAGGATATGGTTGGCATTCTGGGCTGCAAGCATACACTGCTGGCTTGTGTTAAGTCTTTCATCAACAGACACTCCCAAATCCTTCTCTTCATGGCTAGTGACCTGTACCTGTGCTTGGGATTGCCCCAACCCAGGTATAGGACCTTGCACTTGTGGCCTCATTGAACTTCACGATATTGGCAAATTGAATGTGTCCTGCACAGTGCTTTAAAATTGCTTGCTTTCATGCAGCTGCAGAATTATTTGAAAGAAATCACAAAAAGCCTCCATAATGAAACCATAACAGAGCGTTTCTTATTGGAGCAACCCCTCTGAAATCAGCACAAGCAGCTGCTGATACATTTGGGGTTGTTTGTAAATGAGCTGATGTTCTTCATTTGTACTTACAACATGCTGCTGAATTTGTGCTGTGCTTTATGCTTTGCTCTGCTTTTCTCTGTGTTCCACCAGCATCTGTTTAGCACCATAGGAAGAGGGCTGCTGCCACCACCAGTCAACTAGCAGGGTGCCAGGGCCATGGTGCAGCATGGCTGCATGGAACATCACTGGCATCTCTGCAGTAGTGTGGTTACAAATGCTGACAGCAGAATGAACGGTTTGCCTTCTCCCAGCGGTTAAGTTTTATAGAACATTCTGTATCATTTCTGTTTCCTGATCAAAAAGGTCCATGCAGCTGAATGAAAACACATAAAGACATGCAGTGATCTCAGGTGGCCGTGGAAAATTCACAAGCAGAAAATGTTATGGTGTTAATGCGGAGTGGAGTGCTTGGTTCAGGTACGACTCTGCTCCACTCATGGAGTATCTTTGAATTCCCTGAAATCAATTTGGATGGTGGAGCTGAGAGCAGAACTCAGTTGCTGTTCTTCTTTAAAACTTTAGTTCTGAGGAAATGCTTTGCAATGCCAGAAGTCCCTTAGGCCTTTCCTGAACCCTGGAAATGTACGATTTCTCTACTACTTCTGTTGCATGGACATGATAGAGTTTAACATGACTTAAAACTCCTTTCTCACTTCTTTTGTGATATTTCAAGGTTGAGAGCAGTAGTTTTGCTTACAGACAAACTGTTCTCAGGAAGCTAGATCATGCTTTTGCTTCAAGCAAGGAGAGAAGGGCAGCGTGATTGATTGTGTTGCCTTGGGAGCAGCATGGGAAGCTGCTGGGCCTGAAAGCTGACACCTATTCCATACGTTGTGCTCAAAGCTCTGTGTTTTTCTTCCCTCAGCACTACATAAATTACCTGAAGAGGGAGTTAAGGAGTTGTCTTGGGTCCTTTGTATCTGGTGAGCTGTGTATCTGGTGAGGCATAGTGAGGTGCGTGTGTGGTTTTTTTACCTGCTTAATGTACATGGGGCAGGTAAGGAAGAATGTGCTTTAAAGTGAATAGTTGGGGATGTTTACAGGGAGATACAAACTATTCAGTAAAGAGATGTAAAATTCATGTGATGTGATGAACAAATACCAGAGGTAGCCACACAAGATGTCACTTACAGAGTCTCATGCTACAACTGCAGTCTGTTTGTGCATATCATATTGATTTTCACAGCATTCATACTGCTCCTTCTCGGCGAGGGACACCATCACCATGCATCCATCACAAGAACAAAAGTGTGTCACATCCATGATAGGAGCTTGGGCACAGTCTGGATCAGTGCGATTAGATGCTGCAGTGATGAGAAGTCCACAAGGGAAGTGGTAAGATTTACCCAAGAGAAAGATTCAGACCTATGCTATAACATCTGGACTGTCCACTCAGCATTGGTTTGCTTTCTGCTGCATAAGCAAAAATGCTCTGCAACTGAATGAAGTCGCCAGCTAAAAAATAAAAGTACAGTAGAAAATTTTAATTAAGGCATTGCTGTACATCTCCATCTCCAGGGTTAGTGGCAGCTGCACAGCCATCATCACTGTCTTCTAGCAGATGATCAGTGGTCATTTTCTGAAATAGTTTTCTGTATGTGCTAAGTGTGGTTTTTATTTTCACACGTTCTACAACATCACATATATTGTCACTGTTTCTGTAGCAAAATATTTTTACGGTTTAATTTTTCCAAATGCCCCCTTCTTCTCAAAGCAGTCCCCTTGTCACAGAAAATATCCTGCATTTTTGTCTTGTCAAATGTTACCGTTTTGTATTTCTTCTGTGTTATCTAATTCTTCTGTAAACTATGCTGTAAAGTATGGTACCATGAGGGAAAAAACTTGTCTTGCACAGATGACTCCTGCAGCAATGTGGGTTGGGTGTTTTTCCGAGTGGGGGGGAGAGAAAGTGAGATCTAATGTCAAAGCTGGATGTGGGTTGAGCCAACCATGTAGCAGTCGTTGGTACAGTTTGGTGCTGGGGTGAGGAATGCAGAGCTGCTCACAGTAATGATTCTAATTTGACAAGCTGGGTACATCAAAAATTGGGATTAAAAAATGCAATCAGTTTTCATTGGTGGAAAATACTCCCAGAAACTCTCAGAAGGGTGATCCTTTAAGGCCCTGAGATGATGATGAGGTAAATTCACCCTCTCTGTCTGTTATGAGGGAAGAACGCCAAGACCAAGCCATGTTCTTGGTGCTTACATTTAAATATAAAAGTGAGATTTGGCATTCTCCTGTTGTACCCAACTCCAGAAGATGTGTGTTAAGACAGAAGGTGCAGATCCTGCTCTGATGCAGTGAGACCAGTGCGGATGTGCGCTTGATAGGTGAAGATTCCAGTCAGTTGGTCAGGAAAACATGATGTTCTGCCATCACAGTGCCATCCAGCATGGCTTCAAAGGCCTGATAAATGCAGGCATTTTGGTGAAATAACAGAGTTCATACATACAGCCTACAGGTGCTATTTCAAGAGGATCTGGGGAAGAGACACTCTGATCAGAGTTAGGCTTTGAAGTAATGTGGAATAGCAGTGCTTGATTTCTGGGCATAGCTTGGCCATTGGATTTGCAGCAGGAGACTTTTATTCTTTCCTCTTCTCACCTTTTTCAGGAGAATAAACAAACGCTAAATAACTGCTGAAGGTTAAACAGCTGAGCACTCTCAGGGAAGAATGAGGGGCTAAATGTTATGTGTTATAGAGCATCATCATCCTATTACAAACAGTATCTCCTGCACAGTCGCACTGAACTTAAGAAAACATAATTACTGACTCAAAAACTGTGTCATTCATGTAGTCAAAATATTAGAAGAGAAAAAAAAAATATTTCTATTTTGATCCTAGCTAGGATCCCAATAAGGACAATAATTTCTACATTTCTTTCTTTAATCACAAGCTGTCTTTTGGGGTTTTTTTTTGGTGCAACTGCAGAAGTACTTACTGTAGAAATTTTTTTTCTTCTTACGGTGAAGTACTGTAAATTTCCCCTCATAGCCAAGCTCTGTTTCTTATTGTTTGCGTAATTGCAGGAATATAATGGAACTCAAGGCTGCAGTGCAGCTGAAGGAACAAAATGTGGTTCTTTTAAATTGCAATTTACAATTGCATCAGTGGGAACAGAAGCAAAAGTGATGAACTTTCAGCCTGCACATCTCAATAGTTGTAATTCATTGTAAAAACAGAGTGTTGTGGGGTTTTTTTTAATACAAATTCTTTATTGTGCATTCAGAATACTATTTTTTTCCATTAGTAACTTTGTTGGTTGGTGTTGCCATCAGCCAATAAACCTGGGCCTGGACCACCTTCTCTTCTCAGTACAGTTGCTGTGTGTGTACATAGCTGGTGTGTTTTCCTTGGTCCTGTGTTTGGGTAGGGGACACCCGAGGTGACTGATGTATAGACCATGGTGAAGAGGCCCAATGGTCCCCATAGATTGCTCGGTTACACAGAACCAGTTCCTGTGACCAAAACTTAGTTTGTTCAGTCTGCCAAAGCTGAGTGTTCCTCAGAAAGGCCTCCATCCACAAACCGCACTGTCACCCTTGATCATCTTTATTCACATTCTTTATGAAAAACTCAGGGTACTTCTTGAGCAGCTCCAGCCCCAAATCCTTCAGTTTTCTCTTTAGGATAAGGTGTTTAAAATATGTTTTTTTTCTTTTAAATACTTTTTATTAGGCTATAATTTTTAAATGTGTTATTTTATTGATTTATCTATTTATTTATTTAGTATTCAAAGAAGACATTTCAGGAGAGGCCAACTAAGTTTCTGCTGAGTTTTCAAATTATGTGAGAATCCCTTGTTTCCATTTCCCTAAATTTCTCTGAAGATCTGAACAGCTGCTGCACCAGCAGTCTGATTTTTGCCCACTGGTATGTGTTTTCTGTTACCCTCATTCTGTGGGCCCACTTTTTCTTCTGGACTGTGAGGAAGCGTGTTTTGTATTTGTCTGACTCCTCCACTGTTATGGCAACAGTAAAGTACACGAGCAATACAAACACCATTCCTGTGCTGAAAAGCTGTGGATGTTATCTCATAAAAGCTTATTCCCTGTGGGTGCTTCCAAAGCACCAGTCACCACATTTCATAGTGAAAATGTTCTCACATCTGCACGTGCTTCTCCCCCCACACTTTCTTTTTTATCTTGTCATCAAATTCTTAGCACTATGAATTAGTGTGATGTAGAAATAGTGCTTAACTTTTTTTTAGGCACAGTAAATTCTGTTCGGAGTGTGGCTGCAAGAACCACAGGTCGTCTATCTCGTGTGTAATGATTCGCTCAAGGAAAAAAAATCTGAAGGAGAAAACCAAAGAATTCAATATAAATTGCCTGTAATAAGATTTTTTTTAAGCATGAAAACCTGTTTCCTATCTGTCATTCCCACATCTCATGGATAATGTAGACATGTGAGAGATCAGTGTCCTTGGTGGGCAGGAGGACCCGGGGGCATAATAATGGAAAAGAGTACATCTGCAGAGGCTGCATGGAGGGAGTGGGAACCTCTGGGGTTTCACAGGTAATGGTCATATAGAAATATAGAAAGGTTGGGGTCTGGGGTTTGTGTTGGGTTTTCCTTAACTCCCAATGTCCAGATATTGACCAGTGGAATAAAGTCATAGAGCAGTTGGGAACGCCCTGCCCAGAGTTCATGAAGAAGCTGCAGCCAACAGTACGGAACTATGTGGAGAACCGGCCCAAGTATGCTGGCCTCACCTTTCCCAAACTGTTTCCTGATTCTCTCTTCCCAGCTGACTCAGAACACAACAAACTCAAAGGTATGTACCATAGTTTGCATGTCAGCAGCCACCATGCAAGGGAGGTTTCTTTCACTTTTTCTTCTCTGTTGTTGCATGCCTATTTAATATGTTCAGTCAAGGAACACGTGATGATGATGTTACTGGATATACTGCTCCATGGTGTATACAGTGACATGTTTTGCAATGACTTCAATCATGTATTGAAACCACAGTTTACCTCAGCAGGACTTAGATCTTCAATTAGAAAGAGTGATTAATATACTTTTTGTATCAAAAGAACTTCTCATTGCAAATCTGGAACAAACATGTGCCGAGCATCTGTCTTGCATCTCCTCAGTTCTGCTGGGTGCTTACAGGGGTTACCCTTAATGGCACTTGGTTGCTTGCAAGGTGCATGCCAGCACATTACCCAGAATTATTACTCATCCAGTTAACAGCTGCTTCATAGCACGGCTACTGTGAGGACAAAGGAAAAGGTCAGAGCAAACACCTTGGGACACACAGAATTCTGTACTCCTCCTCCAATAAATTTGGATAATGAATTGGATTTGGAACTAATGAAAGAAATGACTGTCAAACCACGTTGTGATATTTTGGATGCAGGAAGTGCATTCATTTGAACCAGTCAGTGCCAGAACAAGAAACAGTGCCTTAAAAGAATTGTGCTTCTGCATCACTATATCAATCATGTCTTGCTTCAGTAATTCTCTGAATAATATTGGCAGTTCCCTTTGATACTGCTTTTACTATCAGATGAGAGACTGATATGTTACACTTTATACGATGTTCTTCTTTACGTTTGTTTTTTCTTTCATGTTTTCTGTAGTGTGCTACAGAGTAAATTATACTGAGTGTGGGATTCCTTGAAACATGGTGCTAGAACTAAGAATTGCTGGTGTTTTTCACATGGGCTTAGGCAGTCTTTATTAAAAACTCCAGAAAACAATAATGATTTAAAAAAGAAGGAAAAAAAAAAAAAAAGAAAAGATTATGGAAAGCTGAGTCTGTTCTGATAGGCACAGAGCTTTGTGTTACCTTCAGGTAAAATCCATCATGGCACATCGCAGAGCTCACCATCCATATAGGGCTGTGATTTTCCTATAACCCAGTTGTTCTTTCCCTGAGGGCAATAAGTGTGGTTGCCAATCACGGTGTTTCCATGCTGTCTGTAATGCAGCCAGCCAAGCTCGGGACCTGCTGTCCAAAATGCTGGTTATTGATCCGGCCAAGCGCATATCGGTGGATGAGGCCCTGCAGCACCCATACATCAACGTCTGGTACGACCCCGCCGAGGTGGAGGCGGTGAGTGGGGTTCAGCTCTGTGCTGCAGGCTGGAAAAAGATGGGGATGGTGCATGGGTTCCTGCTGCTTTATGGCAGCTCAATAACAACCGTGCTGTAAAGAAAACTGCTCGTGTCTGTGCTCCAGGATGTATGGAGGGAAGAGGAGAATCTATACAAAATGCTGAAGCCTAGAATCAACTTGTAGTGGAACGTTAATTCTAAAATGATGGATGGACTCGTGTGTTCCTGGGCTATGGGATGTGGTGTAACATGCATGGGTATAAACTCAGAGGTGTTTGAAAATGGTGTATGGTACCATCTGCAGTGGTAGAAATCCAACTGACAGCAACAGGAATATAAGGCTCCAATCCCTGTAGAGCAACAACAACAAAAATCAAATTTTGACTGCATGAGTTTTTTGCACAATATGTGACTCAGAGGTGCTCTGCAGGGAATGGGTTTGCCATCTACAGAGCCTTTAATTCTCTGTACTACTTTTCATAGAATCACACAGAATCACTCAAGTTGGAAAAGATCTTAAAGATCATCGAGTCCAACTACAACCTAATCATACTACCCTAACTCTAGCAACCCTGTTTTAAATCATGTCTCTGAGCACCACATGCGTTTTTAAACACATCCAGCGATGATGACTCATTTTTCTTTAAAAAATATAAAGTTTCATCAGTCTGAAATGCAAACTAAGAACTGCAGCCACTTCCATACAACCATACAGATGTATTAGTTTCACAAAAGCAAGGTCAAATATCCCACTAGTTTCATGTTTTGTTTCTTATATACATTAACTATAGCCTGTGTTCTATTTGTGGCCCAAAACAATTCCTCTTCACTCAGTGCAGCCCAGGCAAACCAAAATATTGCTTATTTGTGAACTATGATATTTAACACACAGCCTTAAAAATGTGAGTACAAATTATTCCAGACTGCTGTCTGTTTGGTGCTCTGATTGTCCTTTGCCCATACAAAAGTTCTGTGTATGGGATTTCTGGGCTCAGCACAAGCAGAATGATGACAGCACTGACCGGATTCCATTGCAGCACAGCTGTGCCTCACGTTCCAAAGAGGATGAGGGAGAAGCACTGTCCACGTTAAGAACTGATTTCCAGAGATGATGATACTTTTAATATTCACGTGTCCGGGTGTTTTGTGCATGTGGGATGATGAACAAACTGGGAGAGGAGAATTTCTTTACCTAAATAAGTAGTGCTAATTATTTATGGTATAGTGAAAAATGTACTGAGTAGTTTTGTTTCCCTTCTGCAGCCACCCCCCCAGATCTATGACAAGCAGCTGGACGAGCGGGAGCACACCATTGAGGAGTGGAAAGGTGCGCACAGCTCAGAGTTAGGTGAACAGGTCCCACCCCACGTGCATCCGTGTAACTCCTCTGGAACTGCTGCTTAATAATGAAAATATTGCATAGGTCACCCTGAAAGTTGCCTTTCCCTTGGAAATGACAACAGATACAAAGAGCACAGTAATACTACTTTCTAGAGCAAATTCTCAGCCAAAAGATGCTGTTTTTCAGCATAATCACCACCATTACTTACGCATTTTCAATAGCAATGAAGCCAGCCTGCATGCTGCTTTTGTGAAAATCTGCATGGCCTTACTTTTGGAGCAGCCCTCACAGATACAAATATCCTGGGTACTGTCATTATTAGTGCAGATTACATTGTTTCATTGAAATGTTAAGTTACCTCCTAGAAAATAGGGTGCTGATTTAACAGGAGGGCTCGCCGTCATTTTTCTTATAGCAGACAAAGTTGTACTGCTCCGTTTGTAGGTAAAGCAGCGTGAAACAATGAATGTGTTCTAGTGTAGCCCTGTTTGTCTCAGTTCAGCTTCAAGAAGAGCTGGCAGTAGAGGAGAGGGTGGAAGAGAGAGGTTTTACATGAGCAGAGCTGTCAAGACTTATGAGGACAACGTAGTGTTGGCCTATGGGGGGCACTGTTTCATCAGATAATTTTGTTGTTGCTGATCATAAGCCCAGTTCTTGTTTGTAACTGTTGCAATTCTCTGTTCCAGAACTCATCTACAAAGAAGTAATGAATTCTGAAGAAAAAACGAAAAATGGCGTAGTAAAAGGGCAGCCGTCTCCTTCAGGTACTCAGCCCCAGTGAATAGCACGGATGTGTTTTCTGTGCTGACAGAAAGAAAGTAGAAATAGCTGAAGCATTCGGGTGCACCAAAAGTTATAGAGACTAATTTCAGAGGTTTCAGGGCAACTCAGTGTTTTAGTGGGTTGAGCTTTATTAATGGAACTGCAGTGCCATGTTAATGCCTGAAATGAGGTCTGCTTGGAATTTGGGACTGAGCTGCCCTGGTAATAATGGTAAATAATATTTATGGATGCGACTGATATTTAGTAGTGCTACTGATAACTTCATAGAGGAACCTCATTTTGCAGAGTCAAAATGATTGTGAAGGTTAATGCTGTCATTTTACAGAGGACAGGTGAACTGTGATTCGCAAAAAAATGCTGTTACAACCAAAATCCTGGGCTTGGGCACCCAGTCCTTAACTAAGAGAGAAAATGGCTTTGCCTCCCCACACCTGTGTCTGCACTGCCACCAGATGATCTCATACAAGCCCATGTATTGGAGAGCTGTTGTGTTTGGTTGGTTGGGTTCTGTTGTTTGTTTGCACATTGAGTCCTCAGGCTGGTGCCCACATGATCGTAGCTGATTGTTGGGTATTGGTAGTGCTGAGGAGACTGATAAGGAGTGATAATGATGGTATGCAAAGCAAAATAAGATGGCTTGATGAGAAACCAAGGGATATGATATGGCATGGCATGACATGGTACCTCTTCCAAAGAGACTGCTGAGGGGGGAGAGTTTCTGGTTCCTGATATTACCCAATGTCTGAAGCCTGTAGGGCCCATTTCCTGCTCACGTTGTTCAGAACGCTCTGAACATCGCCACAGGGTGCCTTCTCTGCTCTTCGACCTGTGAGAGGTTCCGGGGTTTCAGGTTGAATCACGGTGGTGTTCATTTTCGTAGCACAGGTGCAGCAGTGAACAGCAGCGAGAGCCTCCCCCCATCCTCATCGGCCAACGACATCTCCTCCATGTCCACGGATCAGACGCTGGCGTCCGACACGGACAGCAGCCTGGAAGCGTCGGCGGGGCCACTGGGGTGCTGCAGGTGACTAGCCGCCTGCCTGCGGAACCCCGCCTTCTTCAGGGGGTGACGGCGTCCAGAGGGAAAGCAACAGAGCTAAGGGACGGAGGGAAATAAAATGCACAGATTTAAACGAAACAAACAAATCTTTTCCGCCTGCTTCTCCTACAGAGCTATGTAATGCAGCTCAGCTCAAGTGTGTATGTAACTCATAGTTGCTCTGCTTCGGTCTTCTGACGATGCTTTCTGGGGTGGGGGAGGAAAAGGATTCTTCAGATCCTTTTTTTTTTCCACCCTTACAAGATGCAAAATTAATGGCTGCAAAACCAGCAACCCACAGCTGTCCTCTCACGCTGGCATGACAAGGTGCGCAGTGCCACTCACAACACACCAGTGCAGATCTGCCCTCACTCTGCTCTGTTGTCTCCTGCTCCCTGGGGCAGGTATGGATATACGGTTCGGGATGTGCAGATAGGGATACACACACATTTTTTCCCCAGGCATGTGTGCCTATAGGCACAATCTGCACTCATACTCAGTGCACCATACAACTACATGGCCCATCTGAAGTGAGCAGCATACATTCAGGGGTGCTGTTACCCATGTAGATGTCATGTCCTTGGTCATGGATGAGGCTGCACAGCTTGTGCAATGATTTATGGAAGTGAAAATAACCACACTGAGCTGTGGCTCCCTCAGACCCTTGAAGATGTAGCACCAGTGCTTTTGCTGATAGCTGTATATATACTTAAAGTCAGTTTGTATTGGAGGACGGTGCTGCAGAGCTTCACACAAAGTCTGTGAATATTGGGAAGAGTTCTGATTTTTAGAACAGATATGCTCAGCTAAGAGCAAGATGGAAGGAAGCACATTATGTATTTTTGCAAGGCATGGGGAGCAAGAATGGAGATTCTTTGTGCATGTGTATGCCCAGAAATATTTATATCGTGAAGCAAACTTCTCCTGTCCATATTCAGTGAATTATCTTTATTTATAGAGGGACTCACTGCTGTGAGTTCCAGATATATTTGTGTGTTAGGGGACATTACAGGGTTGGGGAACAGACAGACTACAGTCAAAAGGACATTCAATGTTTATTTTTGTATATCTTCGTTTTTACTGAGTTCAGCATTGGGATACCTGCAGCCCTCTTCAGCATGTTTGCGACCAAGAGATGGTTTCTCCTTTATGTCATTCCCTTGCAGGGATCTCCATCACTGAGCAAAGACCACCCTTCCCTGGCTATCTTTGGCCATTCCTTTGCTTGTGACAAGCCATCCAGCTTCCCAGAAGTGTTACCAGCTGTGTTACATGGAAAAGATGCAAAGAGTGGGTCTGCAGAAAGGGAATGTTTTTCCAAAAAGTCAACAAGAAAAACTGTTTAGAATATTTTATTGGGCACTTTAAATTCACCAGTTATGAAGTATTCCAAATTCTCTTCCATTCTCCTGGAATATAGCTGCTCTGTTGGGTGGCTCACACACCTGCTGTTCTGCTGTAGGATAGGAAAACAATTGGAGTAGCAGGTCAGATTTTCTTCAAAGGGAAGAAAACAAGAAATGAACCTTCTCTCCAGGGTGCTGAGGAGGAAAGATATGAATGCATATGAAGTCATTTCAGACCTGGTAGCAGATCTGTGCTATAGTAGGACATGATGTGGTTTTTTTCCTCCAGGGATATTTTTGGTTGATTTTTGAGAAAAGAAAATACAATTAGGTCTATGATTTTCTAAAAACTCGTAACTAACTGTGAAAGCAATAATTTACCACTGCTAAAAGAGCTAGCAATATTCTTTCTTAAGCCATGAAGCATCAAGTCGTTGTTTGGTGATGTGACGCTCACTTCAATGCCAGTGATCATAAAAGTAATCAAAGCAAACAGCAATGCTTTGTAAGCGTGAAGGCAATAACACCACAGTGACTTCCTAGCAATAATGAAATGTCTCACCTCCAGATTTTAATCATCATACCTATAAATAGTATTTAGATAACCAGTACATTTTCCCCATTCCTTAGTTTGCACCATTCTAGTGTGTTATTTGACCCCTCACCCTAAAGAAAACTCTTAAGAGGCAGAGCTGCATGTAAGAGAAAGGGCAAAAATTGAACAGATGCAGAATGTCAGCATGAGGAATATGCTGTTCGTCACCAGCCGTGCTATGGCTAGTGTTGTGTCAGATGCGGTAGCAGAAGGGCCACTTACAGTGGATGGGTGCTTGCAGATCTCCCATGTTTTACACTGAGTCCCATAGCATAATTTGGTCTGGTTTGTGTTCAGGAGTGCTGGGCATCAACCTGGGAAGCACAGGATATGTTCTGCAGATGGGCAATGAATGAGCCTATAGCACAGAATGTATACTGCTGTGTTCCCAGCAGCCAATTCTGCTAACAGCAGTGCTGCACAAATGTTTTGTGGCTACCATAGGGATGCGTATCAAGTTTCACAACTAGCATGTGCTTCTGTCTTGTGTTCAGCAGTGCTCAACACAAGCGCATGTTGAAGTGCCTTGCTGAAATGGGCCCATAACAATGGCTGCCTTTGGTTTTGGCAGTAAATGAGTTCATCTCCTCTTTAAGAAGCTCTGTTTGCAGGAGGAGACTTAGGGCTGTCCACATTGGACACCAGAAAAAAAGCCATTGATAACACAAAGCAATAGTCTTTTTTGGTCTTGGTCCTCATGTGACCCTGGCCACGCTGCGTGGTGGCTGCCACATAGGGTGTTTCCTCTGTGTCTGTAGGTTGTTGCTGCCAACTGTATCCTACAGGAGAGTGTGTACCCTCCAAGATGGATGACGCTGGTGACAATCTGTAGCTATTCTAAGGTGCAGACAGGATATTCCTTTCAGATCCTGGAATTTGGAGACCCTTCTCTTCAGGTCCTTTTCTTTACTATCCCAAAGCTCTGTGCAACGTGACCATAGCAGATGTATCTTTTTTCTTCCTTCACAGTAACCTTCCAAATCTACCTCTTCCATTACATGGTCAGTACATACGAGTTGAGAAACTATTTTCACCTCATTCTCAAGTTTGCAGCTGTAGGTGTAATTACAGAGATGTAAAAAATTGGTAACACAGAGGTGTAATGGCAGTTTTTTCAAAGCGTTGAGGCACTGAAATGGCCAGCAGCCTCTTGGCAGAAGTGCAGCAATGGCAGCACTTGTTTTTTAGTAAGAGTTGCTCCTGAAAGACATCCTTCCTTCCCTTTTCTTTTTACTGATGAGTTTAACTGAGCATTGATTTGCTTTGAGTTGATGGAAGGTTGCGTGCATTTTCAGTCCAGCGGTAAATTTTGACATCACTCTTCAGATGCTCACTCATCAGCCAGAATATTGTATGTATATTCCATCAGCATATAGTGCATCTTCAGTGATTTCAGGTGTTTATTTGGATTGGTCACAGACTGAAGTATTTGAATGATGCTGTTGCTGGGAACCCACCCAAACTTCAGATTTCCACGGCATAGATGCATACAGGCATTTGTAGCATATAGAGGAGAGCTCAAATTGGAGTGCAGTATGGTAACTTGTCAAAAAAAAAAAAAAAGAAAGAAAGAAAGAAAGAAAAAAAAACAAAAAAAAAAGAAAGAAACATAAAGCCTAGTGCTGCCCTACAGCTCTACTGTTTATCCTCTGGCAATGATCAGTTCCTGCCTGGTGCTGGCTGACCTCAGGAAATCATGTGAGCCAAGTGGTAATGTCACTACACCATTTTTGTACTTTTATAACAGAATCTGATCATAGGTATTTACATTCATTTACATAGCTTTACTTTTAAGATTTGGGCTAATAATCCTGAAGAGATGAAATCTGTCAGTGTGCCTTTAGGAATTTTTTCAAAGCGCGGCCACGACACTGATTTGGACTGTGTTCTTCTTTCCCCTCAACTTACTGGCTCATGGAAATATGCCAGTAGTCAACGTTAGAACTGCCAAAGGGAGTCAGGCTGAGCACATTTCACCACTACAGAGTAGAAATATTTTAATTTGGAATAACCTTTAGAAGCCACTTGTATGACAAATGTTGCAGGATTTTACATGATCAGAATCAACAATTCTAATTTCAGATGTGTTTCTTTTTATGCTTAACGTTGTTTCAAATTTCTGTGTGAATTCAAGCATACAAAATAATGAAAATCTCTTTCCCCTAAAGTTTGTGAGATGAAAACAATGTATTTCCCAGCAAATTCTGTGAGCTTCCAGGGAGAGCGCTATGAAAGGAAACCTGCAGGGGAGAATCAGCCTTTCCTTTTAGGAGTAAGTTGTGTATGTGTGTGAAAGAAAGAGAAGTGCATGCAGGTGTGATTTTTAGAACACCAGTGCTGTACTCATATTTGACCCAAATTCTCATTGTGGATAAAGAGTGTTGTTGTGAAATAGCAGCACATCTTCAAGGAGCTGAGGTCTGTGCTTACTGAACTTCCACCACCTCACAAGGGCATGAAGGTTCACTGACTGCGAGCTCAGAGTGACTTTGTTCATATACACATGCATGCAGAAAGAAAATCGTTGTGCACAAGGTCTGAATATTCCGCAAGTCAGTAATGTCTTAATTAGATGTTTGGGGGTGCAGGGCAATTAGTGAGTGTGTCACCTTCACTGATGAGCTGGAAAATAGAGCTGTCCATGGAACTGAGTGCTGAACGTATTCGCAACTTTGCCGGCGCAGCCATTTTTTTTTTTCCTTCCTTGTAATTTTTTTTTATTATTATTTTTTAAATTAACTATTGATTGCAGGAAATGAATGGTTTAACTTCATTTTTTGTTCAGGCTCTTTGACCCATAGCAAGTTTGAGTTCTAAAGAGGGTTTGATTCGACAAAAGAATGTTGAAAAACTCCACCTGAGGCTATTGGTGCCTTCTTACCTGAGAGTGAAAAGCTGAAAAGCACATACTGAAGGAGGACAGTCATTTTGAGAAATAAGTGTATCCCTCCCATGCTTGTCATTTTGGACAGGTACGCCTGTCTCTTTACTAATTTTCACTGAATGGGGCCATTCCTGTCTTCTGGAAAGCAAGGTATTTATGATGTATATAGTTGTATGGACATTTTTTTCTTCTGTAACTAATATGTAATCAACACATGACTTCTGTTTGATCTTTTACAATAAGGCCACTGTATGCCTCAACACGGTTGACCTCTGAGCTTTTCCTGAGTCAGCCACATGCTGCAAAGGAGGGTGCTGGAGGGTTCATTGTACATATAGAAACATGTATAGTTAGTAAATGGAGTAAGTGGGACTTC